ATATTATAATGAAGATGCTCCTGATGATTTTGTTGATTCTTATCAAGAAATTTCAAATGATGCAACTATACTTACTAGCAATATTTGTATAAAAATCGCTTCTGAAGATATTAGTCTAGATACAACTTTTCCCTCTTGGAATGAAGTTGAAAACTTCCTTGAGAACTATGGATATCAAAATGGTTTTGCAATTAATAAATATCGAATGGAAAGAAACAAATCTTCAAATATTATTACTAAAAGGACTTTTACTTGTGAATTTGATGGCAAGTTTAAGTCTAAAAAAAAGGAATCATCAATACAAGTTGAAAAACAAAATAATATCTGAACAAAAAATTGTTTGTATCCTTGGCATATCAATTTAACATTTTCAGAGCGTGCTATAAAAATCACCATCAGCCTGTTTAAAAATGAACACAATCATGAATTGAAACCTGAAACTTCTAAATTCAGTAATAAATATCGAGGATTAACTAAAGAAATGATGGATGAAATAGAGATAATGACTAAACATGGTAATCTTTCAATTACTGTACAACGAAATCTTTTAAAGGGCAGATTTTTAAAGATCAATTTTAAGGATTCTGATTTGGCAAATACAATTCAAAGATTTAAAGCTTTCAATTGACTTAATATGAATAATAATACATCAAATCTTTTAATTAGCCTTGTTCAAAAAAAACAAGAAGATCCTCAATTTTTTTTTGGAATTTGAATTAGATACAAATAATCGTCTAACTCGCCTTTTCTAGATGACCTCTGAGTAAATTATTTTTTGGATTAAGTATTATGATGTTATAATCAATGATAATACGGCCAGAACCAATACATACAATATGCCTTTAAGTATATTTATTGGTATTAATAATAATGGACGTACTAGATTACTTGCACAAGCTATTGTTGGTGATGAAACTTTTGAGACTTATCAATGGATCTTATAATGTGCACTTAAGGCAACAGAAAAATAACCTATTGTAGTTTTTACTGATGCTGATCCAGCTTTAAATGCTGCAATTCCTCTTCAATTTCCAAATAATTATCATGCACATTGTATATATCATATTGGACAAAATTTACCAAAGAATTTAAAAGCCAAATTAGAAAACCAATATACTGATTTTATTAAAAATTTCTATAAGTGTCAAAATAGTCTTAATGAATCACTATTTTTTTTGTGATAGAATGATTTATTAGAAAAATTTCTATTAGCTAAAGATTATCTTCTTAGAGTATTATGGCCATCTAATAAATCATGAGCACGATGCTATTTATGACAAATTTTTACTGCTGGTATTGAGAGTACTTTACGAGTTGAAGGAATGAATGGTAATTATTAAAAGAATAATTAGAAGCAATTTTACTTTATGTCAACTTATTGAGTGCTTAGCTGAACGGCTTATTACAGAAATTCAATGGGGAAGATTTCATGAATATTGATCTTCAACTACTAGTTCAATTTCAGTATCAATAGGTGAAGATCTTTTTCCATCAATAGTTGAAACATTAAAGAAGTATTTATGTATAAATACATTAAATGCTATTAAAATAAAAATAGCACAATGCTTATATCTTCAAGTAATTTTAATTTCACTTTCTGAATTAGAACTTAATCAAGAACAGGTATAATAACAAATTTATTATTGTAAAGGTTTGCTAGGTTATTTGCTTCCTGAAGGGGGGTAGCGAGACTGAAAGCTGAGCGGGAAGGTATTAAAATTGGAGTTAAAATTAGTTAGAATTAGAGTTAGGTGTTAGAATTAGAATTAGAGTTAGGGTTAGGATTAGGGTTAGGGTTAAGGTTAGAATTAAAATTAAAATTAATAACATTATTAATATTTTGATTATTAGGAATTAGAAGAACAACATGATAATAGTTTTATTGAAGATAATTATGAAGCTTGACAAATTACTTTACAATCAATTATTGATGAAATTGGAAAGGAAGATATTAAAAAAATATGGAAGATTTATGATATTCGATCAGAAAAAAAGGCACATATTTATTATATTGGAATTTCTAATGAAATTTCTTTTTTATACTTATGTTTAACTTCAATATCAAGAGGAATTATTTGCCGTCATTATTTTCACGTAATGATGTCATCTAAAATTGCAGGTTTTCATATTTCTATGATTCTGAAAAGATGGTATTATGATTCTTATCAAAGACTAAAATTAATACATGAAAAAAATATAATATTTGTTCATAAGAAAGATAATATTGAAAATAACAATAATTTGGCAACGATTTTACCATCATGTAAGGATATTACTATTCCAAAAACTGTATCAATCATGAAGAAATCTATTGATAAAAGAACAAGATATGGAAAATTATGGGGAATGACACGCGAAGCTACATTACTTGCATTGGATTCTGACGATCATGAGATGGAACATTTATTACAAGATTATATAAATTGAAAAAAAGGGCAAAGTGAATCAACTTCAATAAATACTCAAACAGAAATATCTACATTGTCATCTATTGAAGAGCATGAAAAACCAATACTTTTTACTAATGAAACAGAACAAATGGATATTAATGACAATACTGAATCAATTACTAAAAAACTTGAACTTCAAAACATTTAAAATTCACTTAAAACAAAGACCAAAGGACGTTCTCCAACAAAAAGGTATAAAAGTAGTGTAGAAATTGAACAAGAAAATAGTAGAAATACAAAAGGTTCTTCAAATTGCAATACTTATAAATGCTATATATGTGGTCAACCTGATCATAATGCTGCATATCATAAAAAAAAAAGGATAATATACTTAAAGAACATGATGTTAATATATAGTTCTAATCAATTTTATTATTTGTAATATGCATTATATAAAGTCTAATAAATTTTAATTATGTGATATATTGCTATATCGCTAGTTTAATATTTTTTATATATTTTTTTTAGAGGCATCAAATATTAATATCATGCCCTCTAAGATAAATTTATGATGATTGCAGGGCACAGTGTAAAATTTTTTCCTTATATAATAATTATTTTTTAATTAATAAATAAAAAATAATTTTTTTTATATTATTTTAATTTTAATTTATTTTTTATTTATAAAAAATAAATACAATTCCTAGTAAAAAGAATAGCAGTAGAAGACTATATCTATTTATATATTATAATTTTATTACTTTTAGATTTAGGTATTTGTTTATATACCAAATCAAATATTGGAACCTGAATTAATTAAAAAGTAATCTTTCTTATAAAAAAAAAAAACAAATACCCTAATTATTTTTAAAGTTATTTAAAATCAAATATTTTTTTTTCTATTTTTTTTCCCTTTTCTAGAATTATAAAATAAGATTTATTATTTATTTTTATTTTGATTTCCTTCTAAAATTATGTTAACTTTTTTAGAAATACAAAGAAATTTTGTTAAATTACTTTAGGACTAAAATACATAATATAAAGAAAATTTTAAATAATTATATATTATTTATATACATATAATCAATATATTAATTTGTTAAATAAAATTAACAATATTTATATTAATCACTCTTTTGATTATCTAAGCAAATTGGTTTTAAATTAATGCTATTATATTATAACATAATTATTTTACTATAGTAGGTAAATTTAAGATCAAATTAAAAGAAAAAAATCATAATATTAATGTTAATGAAAATATAATATATTATGAATTTAAAATTCTTAAGTATATTTCTGTTTTTCTAAGAAAAGTTTCTCTCTTGACTCAAAAAATGAAAGAATTTGTTTAACTTAGATATCTGATTATTTGTATTATAATTAAAATAGTTGTTTTTCTAATAAATAATATTTTAGACCTTTAGAAATATTATATGTGCATAATCTCATAATACATAACCAATTGTTTCTATAGTAAACATTTATTTAAGATTTATGTTTAAGTAATGATTAATGTTAAAAGAAAATTAGCATTTATTATTTATGGTACAAATGGTTTAGTCACATCAAATAGCTAAGCTAATGCTAAAATTTTTACTGATTATTTTTATATTCAATTCATAATTTCATTGGTCAAAAATTTTAATATGTGATCAATTATAATCATGTAATAATAGTTAAATTACAAAATATCATGTTATTTAATATATTTGTAATAGTTTTTTTAACATTTTTTATCTCAATTTAATAGAATTATAATGCTAAAAGTAAATAAACATACTAAACAGTCTCAGAAAGCTATTAAAAAAATGTTAAAAATAAAAAAAAGCTCTAAAGAAATTGTGTTTGAGCTATCAGATGCTGAATCTGATAAATTTAATGAATTATAGTTTAGTAATTTTTAGATAGAAGGTAAAGAAATATGTTTTGATAATGATGAACTTATGAATGAAATGCAAGCATAGAAACTAAATATGTTACAGCAGTTGGTTGAAAATGCTAAGTCATATAAATAGACTGTAGATTTGTGTAGATCAATATATAAAGGTGATGTAAAATCAATATTACATAATAAGAAGGCTTATTAAATAAAAGTAGCTTTAGGTTCTAAAAGATTACTGAAATATTTTTAACAAATGAAGCTATTAAATTTAATGTAAATAATGATAATCTTATATTTAATGATGCATATATTAGTAGTGATAATGATGATAATAATAATAAATTCTCATTAGAATCTCTGAATTTATTATTGAAAAAAAAGAAAGACAATTTGCAATTTTGAATGGTAAATAAATTTCTTCATCTAGTTCAGGATCAAGAATATACAAGGATAAATGCAAGTAATCTGCTTGCCTAAAGCTTAAATAAAAATCTATGGCAAACATGATTCATCATCTTTTAGGCTAACTAATAGTTTAGTAACAGTATGATCATTATGTCTAAATATAAATGTCATGCAAAAATTAGATCTCTTTTTTTGTATAAAATTGTTAAATTGCAGATCATTGAATATTTACGTGTATATAAATTTAAGTTAAATATTGCTGATTTTGTAAAATTCATTGAGGATGAAATTATTTCTATCCTTAGAATAGAAGAAAAAATAAGTATTTTATATTCAACTGCATATAAATAGTTATATATACTTAGCTAGAAATATAAAGACCATTCAAAAAATATTTATTTTGATGGTTATGAACGTGAAATATAATAGCATATAGACAACAATTTTTGTGATAATAAGCAGAATTATGAAATCAAATGGCTATTTATAAAAGTGAGAAATTAGATCAGGTAATCTTACCTATTCTTTCATATAATATTTCTGAGATCATTTCTATTATTCATGATGAGTTGATCTTTTATGCTAATAATGATATTATTAAAGCTTAAGGTCTAGTAAATGAGGTCAAATTTGTCTTAAATCATAAGATCTTAGCATTTATGTAAGTGATTTTCTTTGCAAATCTATCAGCAACCCTAACTTCTAAAAGAGAAATGTATTATTAACAATTCACTTCTTAATGATAAATGGCTTGTATATACTGAAGCTTGCATTATAATGTATTCTGGTATAAGTTATGATAGCTGGTAAACAAATAAAAATATTATTAAATAGGTAAAAGAATAAGCAATCCTAATATTTGAATATACTCATCTGGAAAAAGTTACACTATTTTTGTATGATAACAGTTATAATCACAATGCATTTACTGATGATACATTAGTGATTTTGAGGATAAATATAAAGGATAGTGGAAAACAATCACTCCTTCACAATAGTAAAATATCTAATAGTTCATCTCATATTATAATATTTACGGATATTAATAGAACGGTAAAATCTAAAAATATTTGACAAGTTTTTGAGAAGCATGGTTTATAGATACCAAGTTTAAAAAAAATGCAATACTTGTACACAATATAATTCTGATTCAGATAAACTAAACTATTACGTAATATATTTCCTTTCTTTTTAATCTGACTTTGCATCACAAAAGATACATTTACAAGAGGTAAGTTGCAATTAATTAATAATTTATTTCAATATTCAAATATAATTAAAAAATACTTATCTTTTTAAGTTATTGAAGAAGTAGAACATATATGCATATTCTATCTGAAATTCTACTATAAGCTTAATTATATTGAGTCTTTTAGACAGAGGCAAAGCGGTATTTACATCTCTATTGCAATTAATTGTTCAAGGATCTTAAAGAAGTCATACTGCATGTATTAAATTCAATTAGCCTAATAAAAATTCACCAGTTTACACATTATTCTGCACATTACATAAGTGCTTATAAACTTGGACTTTCTGGTAAAGCAGCTATCTTTATAGTTAAACAATATCGCTCTCATTGTCAGATTTCTAAAAATGTTTTAGAAGAATTCAGAGATATGTGAGAATAAAAGTTTTAAGCTGCAATTAGTCAATCATATTCTATCATGTGATTTATACAAACTAATTATATTTTGAGCATGTGATAATATAGACGCTAAAAATCCTATTATTACTATTAAAGTTAATATTAAATAAAACTTAACTACAAACTAATTTATAATAAATTGAATTAAAACTATATGTTACATTAAAGGCTATATCAAGATTTATTAAATAATATATTATTTTTTAATATTTTATAATTAAAAAAAATTTTTTATATTTTAAAATCACTGAAAATTATTAAATACGACTAAGCCATTTGCACTATATTAAAATTTAGATTATTATTTATATCAAAAATTTTAAATGATCATTTGTATAACAATGCAAATATATTATATAATTACAATTAAATCTTTTAACAAAATAATGATCTAAAATACATCTCATAAGATATTCAAAGAGATTTGAAAAAATATTTTTTAAGATAAATTCTTTTTTGACCTTCATATAACTTAAATTTGAATCCTATAAAAATGTTTCAACTATATTAAAAGAAATAGTAGAAAAAAATCAAATATTTAGTAGTAAAAAATATTACTTGCAATATATTACTTAATACAATCTGGTAAAATAGAATAATTTTAATAATATCATATTACTTTAATATATTAAGAGTATGTTAAATTGAATTAAAATATATATTGATATAAAGAAGAATATACTAAATATTAATTAAATAATAAAATAGTTGTTATTAATATTAATCTTATAAATAATAAAAAAATCTACATTAAAAATAAAGGTTATATGGACTCTTTGTAATAAAAAAGGAGGAAACTACCAAAAAAAATTATTTTAAGTTAATGTTAAATCTGGACTTATTTTATTAAAAAAATAATATTTAGCTTATAAAACAAAAAAAAATTTTTTTCAGTAGTTTTCTCTCTTTTTATTATAAAAAGCTCATATATATTAACAAAACATATTTTTACTATTTTTTTTACTAGAAATTATATATATAAGTATGTATTAGTTAAAAGAAGAAAATTTATAATTTTATTGTTTTAAAAAAAATAAAAAAATATATTAAAAAATATAAATCACTTATGAAAAATGATTTATAATAGATAAGTTAATGCTAA